AACGTGGAGGACCAAACCTAGTCAGAAAGACATTTGTGGATCTTCAGTCCAGGAAATAATGCAGAAAGGAATGGAAGGAAACAAATATATCTCTCTTGCATTTGAGAAAAGCTTCATCCCTAAAGCCAGCCTTAATCTTCCCAGGAAGACTCACCCAAGGGAGAAATCTTTCAAAGGTGGTGAGTGTGGAAACAGCTCTGGCCTGACTTCATTTGACAACATTCACATCAGAGGGAGACCATTTCAGTCCTTCAACTGTGGAAACAACTTCAGGTTGAGTTCTCAACTTCTGACAGATCTAAGACCCCGTACAGATGGAATAACTCTGAAATGCTCGATGAATGAAAAGATGTCCTGTCAACAGGCATTCCTTTCTTGTTACCAGGCAGTTCATACAGATGAGAAACAATCAACATGCCTGGACTGCGGGAAAAGTTTTATTAAGGAGTTGCAACCTACTTGTCTTGAAGCAATTCACAATGGGGAGAAACCATTTACTTGCCTGGACTGTGGACAACAATGTATTTGGAAGGATCACGTCTCCCATCATCAAGCAATTCATGAAGCGGAGAAGACATTTAAATGTCGGGAGTGTCCAAAAGGTTTTTTTCAGAAGACGGATCTCACTTATCATCAAGCAACTCCCAACGGCACAAAACGATTTCAGTGCTTAGAGTGCGGAAAAGGATTTCTTTGGAAGGCACACTTCTCTCGCCATCAAGCAATTCACAATGGCAAGAGGCCATTTAAATGCCTGGAATGTGGGAAAGGTTTTATCCGGAAGACGGACCTCACCTTCCACGAAGCAACTCACACAGGAGAGAAACCATTTAAGTGCCTAGAGTGTGGGAAAGCGTTTATTCGTAAGACCGATGTCACTCGTCATCAAATGGCTCACTTAGCAGAGAAACCTTTTAAGTGCTTGGAGTGCGGAAAAGGGTTTATTTGGAGGAGACACCTCATACGTCACCAAGCCATCCACACAGGAGAAAAACCATTTACCTGCCAGGAGTGTGGAAAAGGTTTTATTCAGAAGATAGCCCTCACTCGTCATCAAGCAGCTCACACTGGAGAGAAACTCTTTACATGCCAGGAGTGTGGAAAGGGGTTTGTTTGGAAGACGCACCTCACACGTCACCAAGCAACTCACACAGGAGAGAAACCATTTACATGCCTGGAATGTGGGAAAAACTTTATTCGGAAGGCACACCTTACTCGGCATCAAGCTGTTCATACAGGAGAGAAACCATTTAAGTGCCTGGAGTGTGGGAAAAGTTTCAGCCAGAAGCTAAATCTCAGCCATCATCAAATAACTCACACAAGCGAGAAACCTTTTAAATGCATGGAGTGCGGTAAAGGCTTCAGTCGGAAGGCACATCTTGGTCGTCATCAAGCAACTCACTCGGAGCGGAAGTATGAAGAAGCATATGAATATTGAGAAAATTTATTCAGAGCAGATCTGATTGTTGAGTACTGAGAATGTTCATTCAGAACAGACCTCTCACATGAGATTACAAGTTCATGCCCTGGAGAAGCCAGAAATATTAAAAACTAACTAGGTATTTTTAATTACAAACATGTGAGTCAAGCACTAAAAGGGTTAAATGGATGCAGTGACTCAGCAAAAACTGCGGTTTAGTATAAGCAGGCATGCCTGTTGCTTAGTAATGCCTCAGTCTGAGAGAGCTCTCAGTGTGAGAGAAGCCTCTCTGTGTGAGAAATCGCCTCAGTGGGAGAATAGGCCTCATTGTTAGTAGGCCTGATTGTGAGGGAGGCCTCGGTATGAGAAGACTTTGTGTGTGAAGCTCCAGTGTGAATTTTGAACTTTATTTGTGTTATGGAAACCTTGTTTGTGTAAATAGTGCAACCATATTATTTTGCTATAAAGAAAAGTCTCCTATGGAAGAGATAACATTGGTTTGTGTGTTTTTGTTATTTTTATCACTTTGGGCTACTGGTGTTGGGACACGTTGCTGCTGATAAGTTACTCTGCTGTACATTTATGAAGATGATCTTTTGTTAATAAGCCCACTCACCCAGCAGAAGGATCAAGAAGTATATGAATATTGAGAATGTTCATTAAGAGCAGATCTGATTGTTGAATATTGAGAATGTTCATGCAGAGCAGACCTCTTACATGAGATTACAAATTCATGCCCAGATGCCAGAAATATTACAAATTAAATAGGTATTTTTAATTACAAAAAATGTGAGGCAAGAACTGAAAGGGTTAAGTGGATGCAATGCCTCAGCAAAAGGTAAAGCCTCAGTCTGAGAGAGCTCTCAGTGTGAGAGAAGCCTCTCTGTGTCAAAGATCGCCAAAGATCGCCATAGCGGGAGAATAGGTTTCATTGTTAGTAGGCCTGATTTTGAGGGAGGCCTCAGTATAACTAGAGTGTGAAAATGTTTCATCTTTATGACATTCTGCCACAGCAGAGAAACCAAGAAGAGCACACAGAGAGGAAGCCTTTCAGATTCTTGACATGTGGGAATGCGTATCGTAAGAAATATATTAAGGATTCTAGAGAAGGGGGACAAATGTTTGTGATAAGAGAGGAATTCCTGGGACACAAGAAATTGAGGTACTGAGAATGAAATGAAAAGCCAGTTGAATGCTTTCACATACAAAATATATCTTGGTTAAAGCCTTTGATACAAAGCTCCAGTCTAGAAAGCATTGCTTTTCATCCTCATTCTCTGTCTTGTTATATTAATTTTGGCAGTATTACCATTGGGAGGATAGAGTTTTGAAAAGAAGTGGAAAATGCCCCATTAAAAACTGGAGAGCAAAAACTATTAGAGGAGGGAAGTAGGCTGAAGCTTGTTAGAGTCAGTGGGCCAAAGCTAGTGTCGTCCTGAGGAGAGTGAGTAGGCCGAAGCCTGTTAGAGTCAGTGGGCCGAAGCTAGTGTTGTCCTGAGGAGAGTGAGTAGGCCGAAGCCTGTGAGAGTCAGTGGGCCAAAAGTAGTAGGCCGAAGCTAGAGTCAGTGGGCCAAAACTAGTAGGCCGAAGTTAGAGTCAGTGGGCCAAAGCTAGTGTCGTCCTGAGGAGAGTGAGTAGGTCGAAGCCTGTTAGAGCCAGTGGGCCAAAGCTAGTGTCGTCCTGAGGAGAGCGAGTGGGCCGAAGTCTGTTAAAGTCAGTGGGCCAAAGTTAGTATCGTCCTGAGGAGAGTAGGCCGAAGCTAGAGTCAGTGGGCCAAAGCTAGTGTCGTCCTGAGGAGAGTGAGTAGGCCGAAGCCTGTTAGAGTCAGTGGGCCAAAACTAGTGTCATCCTGAGGAGAGTATGGTGAAGCCTGTTAGAGTCAGAGGGCCAAAGCTAGTGTCATCCTGAGGAGAGTATGGTGAAGCCTGTTAGAGTCAGTGGGCCAAAGCTAGTGTCATCCTGAGGATGAGTAGGCCGAAGCCTGTTGGTCAGTGGGCCAAAGCTAGTGTCGTCCTGAGGATGAGTAGGCCGAAGCCTGTTGGTCAGTGGGCCAAAGCTAGTGTCGTCCTGAGGAGAGCGAGTAAAAAGTTAATACACTACGATGCAATGTAATTAAAATGAATTATTTCCAGCAATAGGTGTGTAGAGCGTACAAAGAGTAGTGTTTTAATAACGTTGATGGAAAGTTCCTGACATGGAGATGCTGACATGAATAAGCTAGCTGAAAGTGAAATGAACTGTGCCTGAACAAAAACTATGAAACCAGTGATAAATGTACATCAGAATTGAATACTTTTATGTTAGCAAATATAGATGTGCCACTTTACAACCCCATTTAATTAACATCTGAAAATCTGTTTTCGACTTGAGACAAGGAAATGAGCAATAGAGAACCCTAATCTATTTTCTGATATAGTCATATGAACAAGGGAACACAGGGCCACTTAATTGCCTGGCTACTTCCAAGCTTGCTAATTGCACCCTTCACATGAGTTTCACAGACAATGGCTCTTTCCTCCCACCCTGGACATTCCACAGCTATATATACTTCATGTACTTGACCACCATCAGATCTTCTGAAGATGCTAGCCACAGATGCAGGTGAAACATCAGGAGAGAATGCTGCTGGAACATGACCATACAGCCTGGAAAACTCACAGCAACCCAATGTATTTTTATTTATGTTATGTTATTTATTTATTTACGGCATTTATATGCCGCCCTTCTCACCCGAACTGATGACATATTATCCAGAGCGGCTTACAAGATATATATACATACATTATATTATCAGCATAGCACAATATCAGTATATATTATGATATTGCACTATACCATTATATTGTAATACTAGCTTGGGGACCCGGCGTTGCCCGGGTTATTAGAGAAAGTGGGTAATGGTGGTTCTGTAT